TGTGTGTGTGTGTGTGTGTGTTGTGTGTGTTGTGTGTGTGTGTGTGGGTGTGTGTGTGTGTGAGTGTGTGTGTGTGAAGTGAGAGAGAGAGAGAGAGAGAGAGAGAAGAGAGAGAGAGAGAGAGAGAGAGAGAGAGAGAGAGAGAGAGAGAGAGAGAGGAGGGGGGGGGGGTAGAGAGAGAGAGAGAGGGAGAGGAGAGAGAGAGAGAGTAAGAGAAAGAGAGGTAGAAGCAGAAATTATATTAGATAATGAGACATTCAGGACGACACACAAATTTACCACTCACTGGCAAGAGATCCGTATGCGAACAATGCCCACTTTTTAAACCAAAGGATTGAACGGGTTGAGAAAGACATAGCATAGACGTACATGTATTTGAGACAGTGGTAGGTAAAAATAACTATGTGTTACAATATTTAATTCTAAAATTTACCTGTTCTTAACCAGATGCTGCTGGGGATGGCATGCATGCATACACCATATCCACTGTGGTTTTTGTTTCTTCATAGTCTTTACACAAAGTTGGCTCTATAAGTACAAAGTCATCAATGAGCCAGATACCAGTACTACATTTCTCTCTGTTTATCCTTTTCCTTAGTTTCGAAAGATATTTCCTTGTATCATATAATATAGTAACAGCATCGATATAACAATCATAATGTCTATAATATTAATATTAATAGTGTTTGTAAGAAAAAAAAAATCTAGGAAAGGGGAAATTAGATGAGGTCACTAGGTCTACTAATTTACTCCCTCTTGGCTGAGCACTTGTGAAACCATCAATGTGTAGACATTTCACAAAACCATACTACAACAAAAAGTACATTTTCTCAGCAGTATTAGGTTAACTAATGAAATGAGAATCTTTAACCATGCTTTAACAAAACTTCAGTAAATCTTCTGTTAATGAGGTTGAAGATGTGAATGAAATAGTTGCAGACATTGGCTGCTGTGAAGAAAAATTGTTTTACCATTATTTATTGACCTATTGAACGATGAGTATAATCAGTATGTGAGTATTTCTCGTCCATTTTAATCATGGTTTGCCAGACATGGAATTATACAGGCTGTATGCTTAGAACTTCAATTAATGATGTAGGAAAGCCTATAGCTGTTAACTTATGGCCTTGACTTCTTGACTCTGTAAAACTAAGGAATTTGAACTAGTAGAATTGAGGAAGTCCTGACCTAAAGCACGGGCATTTGGCTGTGCTTACTAAAAGGCCATTGCTTGCCTCAGTAAGAAGAGTATAGTATGACTGGTGCAAATGAATTATAAAAAAGGAGTAATATGTTTGTTGATGTATTACACTAATGTATTGTGTATATGTCTATCTTGCACTCTGCCTTCATTTCTGTCTATTTCTTATTTTGTCTACATTTCCTTTTCTCTCTTTATCCTCCTATGCATCTTTTTCTCCCATTATTTCTCCCTCCTCTCTCCTCTCTCTCCCTCTCCCTCTCCCTCTCTTTGCCTCTCAGCCTTTCTCTTTCTCCAATCTTCTTTCTTTTTCTTTAATCTCATATCCCTTCTCTGCTTCCTTTTATTACCTCTCATAGCCTTTCCTTTTGTCCTTCCTTCTTTTCTTTTCCTCTCTTTTCTTCTCTTTTCTTTTCTTCTTAACTTATCTCCCACTTCACCTCTCCCCCCTCTTCCCTCACCTCTCTCTTATCTTTTCTTCCTATCAAGGATTCTTCTTCATCTTGACCCAGAACTTAACTCCACACACTCCAAAGGTGGGGTGTTTGTGTGCATCCTGGTGTTTCCTCTGCCCATCCTGTAAAGTCAGAGTGTAATTAGGTTCAAGTCAGGATTTTTTTTATCTATTTGGTGAATTTGAGGATGTACAGTATAGTACATTGATGGGCAAATAAGGAAAATGAGGATTGTTTATTATATTTTATTCAAAAATTTGCAAGAAGAATGGGTTCTTGGGAATTGGTGATGGAATGATGACTTCCTTGGGTATGACTGAAGAGGTGACAAAGCAGCATGTGCACAGGGCAAAAAGCAGACAAATTGTTGTTCTGGAGTTATGAATAACACTGCCACAAGGCTTCAGTGGGGAGAGTGATCTGACCAGCATGTCCAGAAAACTCATGAACCACATTGATAAAAGGTGACAAAGCAGCATGTGCACAGGGCAAAAAGCAGACAAATTGTTGTTCTGGAGTTATGAATAACACTGCCACAAGGCTTCAGTGGGAAGGTATCCCAGAAGAAGCATCACTTCTCATTCCCACAACCCAAGCTGTATCAGATGACTCTCCAGAACAACAGAACAAGCTAGCTTCTCATTCTGTGTACTTGTCTTGCCATCATCTCTTCAACCTCACCCGTGGTAAATATCACTCCAGTACCAAATCCCAAAGATGTACAAGTATGTTAAACTGCACTGACATACCAGTTCAATATGAGTCTGGCCTTAGAAAGTTTGATGACAAAGGGTGCAACTGGGAAGTAAGAGAACAAGGTGTTAAGTGTGGCCGTAGTATATAT